ATTTAATTTAATTTTTTTTTTTTTAGGGTTAGGGTTAGGGTTTAGGTTAGGTTAGGGTTAGGGTTTTTTTTTTTTTTAAGTGCCTAGTAGTCATATCCTAAGTGCCTAGTAGTCATATCATATCGCATCTAACTGCCGGGTGCCTTGCTGACGTTGTGACTGTGCCACAATGGCATGTGATGAATGTTGCATTAAGACAGGGCGAAGTCAGTCAAGGTTGCCGCGTTTCTTCGCGTGGCAGTGTAAGAAGGAAGAGGCTGAGTCACTGTGGCGAGTCGATATTCTTTATGGCAGGTGGAGCTCAATGCGTTTATGTGTGCGTGCGTCAGTGTGCGTGTGCGTGTGCGTGGCTGTGCGTGTGTGTGTGTGTGTGTGTGTGTGTGAGAGAGAGAGTGTGTGCATGTGACGCATATGGACGGCTTTCGCTTTCTCAAAAACCTGTTTCGCCGGAAGGATGTCTGACGATATCGAAACGGCAACATTACACGATAAGCGGGAGTGGTTGCACGGCGTAGCACGGTCATGTGCGGGGTCGTGGGAAGGTCACAGCATGGGGGTCGCGGCAAGGTCATCATTGCAGGGTGCGAAATTAACGCGAGTCCGGAGTCAAATACTACCTGATTTACTGTCGGACTCCCTGATTTGACAACTGCAGGAGTCTGTGTGACGCCCTGAAAATGCTGATATCCTAACTATAGTTCGTTGCAGAGCACGGCCTCGCAGAATTATCGTATTTTTACAGCAAATGTCCAAAGAAAATTTGGCAGCCGTGCATCGCACAAATCTTTAAAATAAGTACATGCGTTATTGTTGTTGTGCTTTAGTTTCGAACTTCAGACTGCGGACTCCCTCATTTTTCTGCGGACTCCCTCATTTTGCTGCGGACTCCCTCATCTTGAGTGTAGGGTGTTTGTTGGACTCCCTTGTTCAAAAGTTAATTTCTACCCCTGCCATTGCATCTTCTCTCCTGGTCGAACAAGGAGGCGGTGTGACAGCTGCTTTGGCGCTACCTACATGCTAACACCGTCATTTCTGTCTCTCTCGCGCGCTCAGGTCGAACAAGGAGGCTGCGTCGCAGCTATCGCCCGTCAAGAAACGCGTCAAGGAGAACACGCCGCCGGACGTCGTGCGCCACGTCGCGCCAAACCACCACCGGGCGGCGCCACCGCCGGCGTCGCTCGCCGCCGCCACCGCCCGCCGACCGACGATTATCATAGCGGACACGCCCAGCCCGGCCATCAGTGTCATCACCATCAGTTCGGACTCGGACGACGAGCTGATCCTGGCGCCCTCTGGGTGAGTGCTGTCGTCGTCGCTGGGGCGGGGATTCCGATTTTTCTCATGGCGTGCCTGCGACTTTTCCTGTGCTTCCTCTTCTTTTTCTTTTCTTTTTTACAAATTGTATCACTGTACATTATATAACACTGTAGGCAATACATTATATGTACCAACGAAACAAACATTCAACATAAAAGGTATCTCCACACAAGCACACCCGAGCATGTAGACACAGCATAGTAGACGAGCATTTGTAAAAAGACCCCCCCCTCAAAAAAAATAAAACGCCTACCTACCTACCCAAACCTTTCAGCCTGGGTCAGATGAGGGCAAACAAAGATTTTTTTAATTGTGACACTGATGGCTGATGACTCACTGATCGTTGACAGGTGTTCGGATAGGAACTGTCACCAGTGCGGACACCGCAAGAAGACACGGGGGCCGGCTGCTGGCAGCGCGAAGGTGAAGCCACACCTAGCAAGCATCAGTCCACAAGACCTCATTACACCAGGTACGATGATGTGCACGGTGGCGTGTAAACAATAACAATAACAGCACTAGCAACAACAACAATAGCACTAGCAACAAGAATAGCACTAGCAATAACAATAGCAACAACAACAACAATAGCAACAACAACAATGACAACAACACAACACCACCACTAACACCATCAACACCACCAACAACAATGGCAACAATAACCAACAACAACAACAACAACAACAACAACAACAACAACAACAACAACAACAACAACAAAACAGGAGCCGGAAACACAAAGGAGCTGTTCTCATTGTCGCGCGTTCGCTTGTTTGCAGAGGGAACCCCGCGCAAGGCGATCTACGGCAAGGGCATCAGCTGCGTGACGCTACCGGACTCACAGGATTCCGACTCGGAACTCGAGAGCCCCGTCGCGCGTCTGCCGAAGTCGCGCGGTCGCCGGGAGACGACGCGCCACGGGGGCCTCGACCGCACCACCATCAAGCGTGAGAAGCTGCAGACGAAGATGGCCGAGCGAATCCCTAAGAAGGTGAGTCCGCGCATAGTACGGTGGCGCCCTCTCACGGGTGGTGGGGGAGGTTAAGGACGGAAGGGGGGCTGAGTGGGAGAAATAACTTGTAGGAGGGAGGTGTTAGGAGTGTGTGTGTGTGTGTGTGTGTGGTGTGTGCGCGTGCGAGTGCGTGCGTGTAGGAGGAGATGTGTAGGAGTCGGCTAAGTACGGAAGTCTGTTTACAGTCGACCGTTTTGAATTAAAGATGCAGTAATCAGTGTGAAACGATGCACCGTGGGTAAACCGTCGTGAGATAGAGATACGATTAATACGTGAAATCAAAAATCACACACGATCAATAATCACGCACAATCGATAATCATGCACGATCAATAATCACGCACAATCGATAATCGTGCACGATCAATAATCACGCACAATCGATAATCACACACGATCGATAATCAAGCACGATCAATAATCACGCATGATCGATAATCGTGCACGTTCAATAATCAGGCACAATCAATAATCGAGCACGATCAATAATCACGCACGCTGGCTAAACATTCAGGGTTTAATTTGCACTTAGTCTGTTAGTCGGATACGTGTTTGAGTTTGTCATCATCAAGTTTGTTGTTGGGATCGCGCGGTGAGCGTGTGCGGTGAGTGACGATGTCGCTTCGCTTGCAGGAAATCGTCGAGCCGGAGTTTGTGCCGCAGATGGTTGAGCCGGACAGCACCAGGGGGCAGTCCCTGCTCGGCTCGCAGTCATCAACGGGAAGCTTCAATAACTCTTCCCGCCACCGGCGGCGCCACCAGCTATCGCCCATGCAGCAGCTCGGGCAGCCGCTCTATCTGAGCACGACCAGCGACATCTACAGGTGGGTAATCGAACTAAGAAGTGCGTTTGTCGTTGTTTCGGCGGCGTGCGGGGAGGGAGTGTCGTCACTCATTTAGTAACGCTCGTTAGTAACACTGGTTAGTAACGCTCGTTAATAATTCTCGTTATTAATGCTCGTTAATAACGCGCGCGATTCTTTCATTTTGCAGGGACTACAGGCAGCCTCTCTACGTATCGTCCGGCCCCTACGTGCACTCGACGGCGGCGGCTGCGGCGGCGGCAGCAGCGGTAGCGGCGACGCAGAAGCCGGTGGTGCCCCCTGTCGCGCACCTGCCCGGCACGCAGTACGCGGCCGCGATGCCGCCGCCCGCGCACCACCAGGGGGCGCAGCGTCACGCGATGCAATACGCGGCGCACCCGCTGCCGGCGCACCTGCCGACGCATCACATGCTGGCGCCGGCTGCGGCTTACGTGGGCTCGCCGGGCATGTACGGATACACGCTGTCGCCGACGAAGGCGTGCCAGTACCCGATGTACCCGTCGTTCCAGCCCGAGTGAGACACCCGAGACACGGAGACCGCGGGAGAACGCGTCTGCTTTTGGAAGAGGCGCCCGCCGGCGTCGCGGGGTTCGGCCGTTAGGGGGCGCCAGCTGACGTCGCGTCGATCTGCTGCTGCCAGCTGGCGGCGCTGGCCTAGCGTGCTGCGCCTTTACTAATCATTGGCTTTTCACTAATCGTCGTCGTTGTCAAAGCGTAGGAAAATTTACGACGACTGGGAACGGTTTTTCGTTTGCGTGTTTTAGTTGGTTACTACTAGTACTTACTTGCGTGCGTGCGCGCGCGTGTGTTTTTGTGTGTTTTGTGTGTGTACATATATATAAATATATATATACATATATATATTATAACGGTGCGATGGACATGTGGGAGAGAGCGGAGAGGGAAATGCATGGTGAGAACTGTTGGTGCGTGGTGTGTAGGGGCTGCATGCAACACTAATATGTCGGGCTCCCCCTTCGCCCCGGATGTGAACAAGGCATGTACGAGGAACTATTTTTGCGGGACGATGGCAGGTGTGTGTGTGTGTGTGTGTGAGTGAGAGAGCATGCTCTGCTGACAAAGACAAGGGTTGAGAGAACGTAATACAGACCCACCGCTGCGCGGCGCCACCACCGTGCGTGTGCGATGGGAAAGATTTTAATAATGCATGCTTGGTAAAGAAGAATTTTTAGTTTTCAACGCTGCTACTATATTAAGCATCTAGTGATATTTATTTTTGATAACGAGGGCTAGAGGGATGAGGGTACGTACGTAAGTGGACACATTCGCTGTTGATTTGTATCCCTACAATACCAAATTGTAGACGTGTGCGTGTGTTACTCTTTAGCATATAGCGTATATATATAGTGTATCGGCCACACATATTGTTCGTACATTCCACGTTGTGTATGTGTAATTTTAATTTGGTGTAGTTTGCATTCTGTGTGTGGTTGTTAGCTGGAGGTGGCACTGCAAGCGTCAGTTGCCTTCCTAGATTCAAAAGTCTGTATATAGGACTGCTGATAGGTTATGCACATCACGCTTTAGCGAGCGCGGTTTATGCGCTCGAAACGCAATGTCGATTTTTCCATGGCCTACGGGAACGACTGCCATTCAAACTGGAGGACAGGACACGTTCGAACCGAAACAAAACGCACATGCATCGCCGCTACCGATCTATGCAAATGTGCTGCCACCTGGAGGCATCGTCCAGACGATAGGAAAAAAATTTGACGCCGACGAAACGGTCAGGGGTCGTGCGTGGAAAGATCGAGATGCTGTCGTGGCGACAGTCAATGTGATAGACGTGCGACAGTCGTGATGCGCAGAGGGGTGGGTGGGGTTCGCCCTCCCGAGCAAACCTCCTCCACACGACATTTCTTTTTCCCCTACAAAACTGCGCGGGTGCCCAGTCTCTACAGGCGGCGGCGGCGGCGGCGGCAGGGTGTGGCGCGGCGTCGTGTGGTCACGAGTCGGCGATGGTTTGTCCCACTCGCTGCCGCCGCCGCGCGCAAAGTGTAATGCACAGACGTTCAAGGGGTGGCACGTGGCTCCCTCTGTAAACATGTGATAGTGTATATTATTAGTTTGGCCATTTTGACTGGGGAAAAGGAATGCGCGGGGGCGGCTCACCGTGGCGCCCCCTGCTGGCACGCGACGTTGCGGCGGTTTCAATTTTAAGAATTACACGTAAGCTCATAGCCACTTGTACAGATTTAGTATTTTCTACTTTGTAATAATAACAATGATAATAACATCAACAATACCCTGTCTGTAAAAAGGATGCAGTTAAGAAATTTTTTGCTATTTTTGAATGGCCAAATGTATGTTATGTACATTTAGTGTGATAGCTCTGTATAATAGCGTGGGTGAATGTAATACGTAGCTGTGAAATAATCACTATTATTCCCTGTAGAGGGCGCAGGCTCGCGGGGTAAAGAACGAGCCATAGGCAGAATGGTGCATTGTATCTTGTGCGCGCGCAATGCGCCTTTGTGGAGTTTTCGCGCACGCACACCCCGCACAGCGCCATCTGGCGGGGGTGCGGAGTGGCGATACACCGTGGGCGATGGTGGCGCCGCACCGGGTTTCTCCCTCTCGTTGTATTTTGGTTTCCTTTGGTGTTTGTGTTAGTCGCTGCGGCCCGTTCACGCGCTTCGCGCTGACGTAGGGGACGCTGTGAGCGCGTCGCTGTGTTTTAATCGTAGTTAGTTGATGTCGTCGCGCGAGAGAGGGCGCGACAGATGTCGTGTCGACGCCGCGGCGGTCGTAGCAAGGCGGCGCGGAGCTTTCAGGCGGGCATAGGCAGGGGAGCGAATCGAGTAGTCTCCGTGCGTGCGTGCGTGCGTGCGTGCGTGCGTGCGTGAAGCGATGGACTGACACGCTCGCGCCGCGTCCCTAGCGACATCCGTCTGTTCGCGTATTTTATTCACGGACGAGGTTTACCGTTCGTTATTAGAGTTTTACGTAGGAGACGACCAGTTATTGTTCTCTCTCTCTCTCTCTCTCTCCGCCTCACCCACCACCCCGTACTGCGGTGCGGATACCCTCGTAGTTCGGTGTGTGCGTAGTAGTTCTCGTAGGTTGACTTTCGTTTTTTCTCGCGCGCGCGCGCGCTCTCACGTATATGTAATCGTCATTTACCAAGAACATATCAGTATTTTAACTACGACTGAACAATGGGAGGCGCGTGCTACAGGGGAGAAGTGTGTAGAAGGTGGCGCCACCCGCGCGCGCGTGCTGCGCGTGCGCGTGCGGTGCTGGTGCGATGGCGTGATTCGATGCCAGTCATTCTGGACCATCCACCAGTTCAGCCTGCACTGCACCATGTTTTACTAAATTTAAAAAAAGGGTGGTGTTGTGATGTGTTGTATTTATCTATCGGTAACTAGTTACGAAAGTATTAGCTATTTTACTAATTACATATTACTATTATTATTATTATTATTATCAATGTTTACTGCAGGATTCAGGTTTCGGTACCAAAGAACTATTGGTCATTTATCCTATAGCAAAAGCGCTGTATAACTCGAGTCTAGTTGACGTGATCCAGTGATCTTTCGTAACTCACACATGCTGGTTGCTTGTATCGTATAGTCTCACTGTTTGTACCACGATTGTATAGCAGCGACTCACACCACACACATTAATAGCGTTCAGTGTTTGTTGCGCAGTTTATAACTGGTTCGTCCTTTCAAACGTGAAAAACAGGAAGCTGTGGGCTTCCCCTAGTGACGGCGTCCGATGGCAGAGGAGGGATTCGGAGATGTGTGGGTCGCAGTGAGGTACACGTAGTTGAATCACCTCCTCCTCACCGGATGGAGCCACTGGCGTGTCATTGCACTGGTGGTGGCGTCCAACTAAATAGTTATGGAATTGTGGCGTAGCTGCAATCATTGTGAATATATGCTAACCTGGCGCGTGTTAGCCTTGCTGTACTCAGAAAATCTTCGCTAGGATCAAATAGATATTGTTATATTATTCCAGCTTTTACTGTAGCTAGTGGTTTCAGGCTCAAGTACAGACGGGTATAGCAAACAAATCTTGCGAACGTCTCCGTCTCTTTTTCGGATATCATGCAACGGCAGTGGAGAGTCGTCCTCAGAACAGCGATCAGTTGTGGGTGCGGCTGTAGTAGCGGTTATGGACGAAAGGTGGCGCTGTCGGTTCCTATCTACTAGATCGGATCCTCATTCGTTCGATCTCATTCACTGGCGCGGCTGCCGACTTTGTTCCAACAACTAATTCGTCGGACAGCAGGTCCCGCCGTCGGCCCACCTTGATTTCCGTACGTTGCTGCTGCTGCTACTGCTGCTGTTGGCTGCTGCTATTGCTGCGGCTGCTGCTGCTGCTGTTGCTGCTGCTGCTGTTGCTGCGGCTGCTGCTGCTACTGCTGCTGTTGGCTGCTGCTGCTGCGGCTGTGGCTGTGGCTGCGGATGCGGCTGCTGCGGCTGCTGCTGCTGTGGCGGCGGCGGCTGCGGCTGCGGCTGCTGCTGCGGCTGCTGCTGTTGCTGCGGCTGCTGCTGCGGCTGCGGCTGCTGCTGCGGCTGCGGCTGCTGCTGTTGGCGCACCCTGGCGAGTGCGAGAGACATCGCGTGTCTCTCATGCACCCCCGCGTGCGGCGGCGTGCAGCGACGCCATGCGGGCGTTGCCGTGACGACGGGGCGTCTGCCGACGTTCACGTGACTTCCGAAACGTGTTGCTCTACCTTACCTGTTATTAATTGTACATTGTAACCGTCGTCCGTATCACGATGTCAATCAACCCGTGTAATTACTACGTATCGTTTATATTATCAACACCCTTGTAGGCGTAGGTATAGACTTGTTTGTTTGTGATAAAGGGGTATATACACTGTATGTATAAATCTTTCCCAGATTATTTCTAGTCACTAGCTCGTTTGATATGGACATTGTAGTGGTTTGTACTTTTTAGAGTTCGGATATTAATAGTTTTTATTAATACGGAATAGCACTTTGGGATTTAATGGACTTGTTAGTAGTAGAGGGAAATTCCATTGGTTACCGCCCATCGGACTGCCATCGTGACGTATTTTGCCCTGTTCGCAACATTACAGCGCGGACGGAGACCCCCTTTTACGAAATCCTTTGAAGTAGAACGAGGAAAACGAACGCTTGTTCAGTTCGCTGTCCAGCGTTCGTTGCTTCGTCTTACAGGCAAGTGAAAGAGTAGGAGCGGCAGTCACCGATGGTAGTGTGACAGGTGCTGATCTCTGACGGTCGCAGTTCTTTTTCCATCTGCATTTTTTGATGTAACTTTAATCTGTTTGTAGATTATCTACGTTACGATATAGCTAGGTTATTATAGGCGAGTGTGGCGTTTGTGGTGGTGTACAATTTGTTTTCAATTTACTTTTTTTGAAATTTCACAATTCTGTACACCCGTATATTTTGTGTGTGTGTGTGCGCGTGTGCGTGTTTGTTCGTGCGTGCTTGCGTGAGTGAGTAAGTGAGTGAGTGAGTGTGTCCGTGCGCGTGTGAGAAGAGTGGCCCGAATTGTGAGAGGGAGAGCGCCTGTCTCGGCCAGGTGTACGTAGCTAATGCAGGAATAGCACGGAGTGACCTTGACACGTCCTCTGTGCAGACGACTTCTGTTTGTGCTATTCTAGCGGGGCAGCATGTCGAACGATGGCTGTGCGTGCATGCACTCGCGCTCTCTCTCTCCCTCGCAGAGTACGGGCCGCTAGCCGTGTTAAACGCCAACAGAAGGCGGGTCATTCTGACGCTGGGTAGATGGCTCTGTTCAATAACAGGCGCCGCGAAGCGATGTAGGTGTCCAGACATAGCTAAGCGATATCGAAACGCTCGTGGAAGTGAAAATGG